GATTCTTAAAGGGACAGGCACACTCTTAAAGGGACAGGCACCCCAAAATGTGCCCCTCCCCCCGGGCTTCTTAAACGCACAGGCACCTCAAAATGTGCCCCCCCACGTTCTTAAAGGGACAGGCACCCTCTTAAAGGGACAGGCACCCTCTTAAAGGGACAGGCACCTCAAAATGTGCCCCCCCAGCTTCTTAAAAGGACAGGCACCTTCTTAAAGGGATAGGCACATCAAAATGTGCCACCCCCCCCGGATTTTTAAAGGGACAGGCACCCCAAAAAGTGACATCCCCAGCTTCTTAAAGGGACAGGCAGCCTCTTAAAGGGACAGGCACGCTGTAAAAGAACCAGGTACCTTCTTAAAGGAACAGGTACCATCTTAAACAGACAGCTACCCTCTTAAAGGGCCAAGCACCCTCAATTTCCCTTCGGCCCCCCACTCCCAAGGTTTTTAAAGGGCCAGATACCCTCTTAAAGGGCCAGGCACCCCCAACCCTGCCCCCACCTTCTTAAAGGGCCGGGCACCCCCAACCCGCGCCGTCTTAAAGGGCCAGCTCCCCACTTTAGGGGGGGCGGGGCTCGCTCCGAGGGGGCGGGGCTGCCCTTAAAGGGCCAGCGCTCACCGCTGTCGCTGCCGGCGCCGTCTCGGGGGTCCCCCAGGCCCTTGTCGGGGGCGCGGCCCCCCCGCAGCGTCATCGACAGCTGCCGCTTGATCTTCTTCATCCGGTCCATGGCCCTGCCCTGCGGGGACAGCGAGCGGGCACAGCTGGGCACAGCTGGGGTCACGGCACACCTGAGCACACCTGGGCACAGCCGGGCACACCTGGGGTCACTGCGCACCTGAGCTGGGGCACACCTGGACACAGCTGGGCACACCTGGGTTATGAGGACACGCCCCCCGCTGGGGTGGGGAGGGGTCTCGGGGGGCGGGGACTGTTTGGGACCCTCCCCTACACTCCCCAGCGGGGAAATGGGGGAGGGGATTCCCTTTGGGGAACCCCCAGCTGCAGTGACGTCACAGCCAGCCTGGAAACCCCTCCCCCAACTCCATCTGTGCCACCCTGGCCCCGCCCCTCCCCCACACCCACCAACCCCCAGTGACCCCTCCCCCAGACCGAGGGGGCGGGGACAAACCCAAAGAGGCTCCGCCCCTTTTGGGGACTCCGGGGTTACTCCGGGTTTACTCCGCAGCCCCGAACGGGAGCGGGCGGCTCCGGGGTTACTCAGGGGTCACTCAGGGGTTACTCAGGGGTTACTCTGAGCTTACTTGGGGGTTACTCCAGTGTCAGAACAGGAGGTCCCAATGGTACCTCAAGGTTACTCAGCAGTTACTCAGGGGTTACTCCAGCGTCAGGAGGTTCCAGTGGTACCTCGAAGTTACTCAGGGGTTACTCAGGGGTTACTCCAGCGTCAGAACAGGAGGTCCCAGTGGTACCTGGAGGTTACTCAGGGGTTACTCAGCAGTTACTCAGGGGTTACTCCAAGTTTACCCACAGGGTACTCCATTACTGCCCTGCAGTCACTCCAGGTTTACTACAGGGTTACTCCAGGTACTCCAGGTTTACTCCTGGTACTCCAGGGTACTCTGGGTACTCCAGGGTTACTCCAGGGTTACTCCAGGGTTACTCCAGGGTTACTCCCAGCACCCTCCCCCCTGCTGACAGGGCCCTCACAGTTTACTCATCAACTACTCCGGGGTTACTCCCAGCTCCATGCCCTGTGCCACACCCCTCCCCCACACCGCCTTTACACGCACGTTACTCCAAGGTGTAAAAAATCTGCTTTACTCCAAGTTTACACACAGCTTACACCGAGATGTAAAAACTCCGCTTCACTCCTGTTTTACACAAGGGTTACTCCCCGGTGTAAAAACTCTGCTTCACTCCATATTTACACACAGGTTACTCCAAGGTTTAAAACCTCAGTTTTACTCCAAGGTGTAAATGCTCCACTTTACTCCAAGTTCACACACAGTTTACTCCCAGGTGTAAAAGCTCCGCTTTACTACAGGTTTAGTCCAAGATGTAAAAACTCCATTTTACTCTGTATTTACACCCAGGTTACTCCAAGGTATAAAACCTCTGTTCTACTCCAAGGTGTAAAAAGTCTGCTTTACTCCCAGGTTACTCCCAGGTTACTCTCAGGTGTACAAGTTCCATTTTACTCCACGTTTACTCCCAGGTTACTCCCAGGTGTACAAGTTCCATTTTACTCCGTATTAACACCCAGGTTACTCCCAGGTGTAAAAACTCCACTTTACTCCACGTTTACTCCCAGGTTACTCCCAGGTACAAAACCTCCGTTCTACTCCGAAGTGTATAAACTTCTTTTTACTCCCAGCTTACTCTCGGGTGTACAAGTTCCATTTTACTCCACGTTTACTCCCAGATTACTCCAAGATGTAAAAGCTCCATTTTACTCCATATTTACACCCAGGTTACTCCAAGGTATAAAAACTCCGTTCTACTCCAAAGTGTAAAAACTTCCTTTTACTCCCAGGTTACTCCCAGGTGTAAAAACTCCACTTTACTCCATGTTTACACCCAGGTTACTCCCAAGCATAAAAAACTCCATTTTACTCTATATTTACACCCAGGTTACTCCAAGGTGTAAAAACTCCGTTCTACTCCAAGTTGTAAAAACTTCCCTTTACTCCCAGGTTACTCCCAGGTGTACAAGTTCCATTTTACTCCACGTTTACTCCCAGGTTACTCCCAGGTGTAAAAACTCCACTTTACTCCACGTTTACTCCCAGGTTACTCCCTGTAAAACCTTCCTTTTACTCCCAGGTTACTCTCGGGTGTACAAGTTCCATTTTACTCCGTATTTACACCCAGGTTACTCCCAGGTGTACAAGTTCCATTTTACTCCATATTTACACACAGGTTACTCCAAGGTATAAAAACTCCGTTCTACTCCAAAGTGTAAAAACTCCATTTTACTCCCAGGTTACTCCCACGTGTACAAGTTCCATTTTTCTCCATGTTTACTCCCAGGTTACTCCCAGGTGTAAAAACTCCACTTTACTCCACGTTTACTCCCAGGTTACTCCCAGGTACAAAACCTCCGTTCTACTCCGAAGTGTAAAAACTTCTTTTTACTCCCAGCTTACTCTCGGGTGTACAAGTTCCATTTTACTCCACGTTTACTCCCAGATTACTCCCAGGTGTAAAAACTCCATTTTACTCCGTATTTACACCCAGGTTACTCCCAGGTGTACAAGTTCCATTTTACTCCACGTTTACTCCCAGGTTACTCCCAGGTGCCCCAGCTCCGCTCCACTCCGGCCTTCCTCCCAGCTGAGGGGGCGGGGCCAGCGCAGGTGGGCGGCTCCATCAGGGCTCAGAGGTCACGGGGGGCTCCTGCAGCCCCTGCAGCTCCCGCAGGCCCTGGGGGAGGGCAGAGCGTCGGGGGCGTGGCCAGAAGAGAGGGGGCGTGGCCAGCAGGTGGTGGGCGTGGCCAGCGGGTGAGGGGGCGGGGTTACCTCCAGCACCAGGCGGATGTGGGCGCGGATCTTGGCCCCGTCGCGCGTCAGGGAATCGCTGAGCCTGAAAGGGGCGGGGCTTTGTGAAGGGCGTGGTTTTCTAAGTGGGTGTGGCCTGATTGGCACAGCGGAGCCACGCCTTTTTCATGGGGTGGGGAAGCCTTTTATGTTGTGGGTGTGGCCTGTGGGGTGTGGGCGTGGCCTGAGAATGGCACTCCTTTTTTGGTCATGGGGTGGAGATGCGATCTCCTTTTATGGGATGGGTGTGGCCAAAGGGGCGGGGTTTGCCCATTCGGATCTGTCTGTGACACCAGGTGAGCACAAAGGGGCGTGGCCTAAGTGGGTGTGGTCCCAAAGGGGCGTGGTCACCTCCTCCCACCCCCAACACAGCAGGAATGGGGCGTGGCATGGTGGGCGTGGCTCCCCAATGAGGTGTGGCCTCGACGGGTGTGGTCCCCAAAAAGGGGCGTGGCCTGTGCTCATGGGGGCGTGGCCAAGGCAGAACGACTGCGGATCACTGCCCAGCACCACAGGGCGTGTCCAGGCGGTGTGGGCGTGGCCGGGGGCGTGTCCAAGGGGCGTGACCGGGGGGGGTCTCACCTCTGCAGGAGGGAGAGGCGGCGCTCCAGGTGCCGAAGGGCCTCGGGCAGCGTCAGCTCCGCGAAGAACCCGAAACCCAGAGCCACGAAAACGCGCCGGGGGTCCGGGCTGGGGGCACGGCCAGGGGAAAAACGGGGTCAGGGGGGTCCTCAGGGGGTTTTTGGGGTGTCCTGGGGGTTGTGGAGGCTCGGGGGAATCGAATTGAGGGGATTTATGGGGTCCCCGGGAGCTCAGAGGGAGTTTTGGGGGGAGTTGGATTTATCCTAAAAGGGAATTGGGGTCCCAAAGGTTCCCAGGTTGGTCCTCGGGAGTTTTGGGGTCACTCAGGGGAGTTTTGGGGTCCCTACAGTGGCCAAGGGGTGAGTTTTAGGGGGGCTGAGGAGGTTTTTGAGGGGTCTGAGGAGGTTTTGGGGAGGTCTGAGAAGGTTTTGTGGGGTCTGAGGAGGTATTTGGGGGGTCTGAGGAGGTTTTTGGGAGTCTGAGGAAGTTTTGGGGGGTCTCGGGAGGTTTTTGGGGGATTTGAGGAGATTTTGGGGGGTCTCAGGATGTTTTTGGGGTCCCTGCCCCACTCACACTTCGGCGCTGACGAAGAAATTGCAGCCGAGATCCACCTGGGTGTGCAGGGGGGCGTCGGCGTCCTGGGGACCCCAAAAACCCCCCGAGACCCCCGGGGTCACACAGAGACCCCAAACACCCCCAGGGACCCCCAAATACCCCAGAGATCCCCAATTACCCCCCAAAATCCCGCCTAACCCCCCCCACA